CAGCCTTTAGTTTTCTAGAGCCAATCAATGTGAAGCATTGTTAAACCAAAAAGATCCAGCTTATCCTAGATTGCAATTATTTAGAATATTGTTATTATTATCCATGTATATGGTTATAATATATCAACATGCCTTATTTGAAAAATATAAAAAAGGGTTTGCAAATTAAGAGACGCACATACACGAAATAATTTTTCTTTTCTTTCCTTAAAATCATATTTTTTGTGTAATAAGCCTCGTAATATCTCTGGAAAGGTGTTGGCAATGAGAATGAGTCAATTTCATTGTGTATGTGAGAGGGAACAAAGCTCGGCTTGAACCTCTAATACCTCATCCAAACATGGTGTGTCGTGTTGTTGGCTTGTTGCTACGCTAACTAGCTGTTGACATTTCCTTAAATTATTCTGATGAACTATTTGTGTTCATTTAAAAAAAGCAAGAAAAATTTGAAATAATACTTTTCTTCTTTTACATGGATTACGAGTTTAGAACAAAGGTAATAAGCATTATTTTTTCTTATTTTTATAAATGAAAGTTTCGAAATATTTTTTGAATGTACGACTCCAATCATGAGAATGGAATTTTAACATTTTATTTCCGGAGAAAGATATGAATAATGAATTGTTGACATAAACTTATCACCTTAAAAAAAAAATCAAATCGCGTTAAAATTTATGTTATATTTTTTTCTTTATTCTACTAATTGTATCTACCCTTAAATGCTTAAACTAAAAGCAAAATAATGGTTTTTTAAGTCATCATTACATAAAAAAATCTATTGATGATGAAATGACACACACACACACACACATAACTGGCTCTTCTCTTTCTCTGCTGAATGTGTGAAATTCAGAGAAGCCAGATGGGTCTGAAAGAAAAGGACCACTCTTTGATCGTAGTGGACATGAATGAATAGGCATGCTGGCGTTGGACCACAAAGCAACGAGCATAGAAATTTCCAGTAGGGAACTGATCATCATACGCACTACTATTTTAATGCAAATTCTATCGCTATTCTATATATACATAATTCATTCAGATCACTTCTGCTTTGGACTCTTGCATATGGAAGTTTCCTAGATCTTTACTCTTGTGGGACCCCAGAAAATATGAAATACATTATATATATATATATGTGTACATATATGTATTCCATCCGTCCTTTTTGAAGTTAAGAATATAATTAGAAAAATATGTGTATATCTTATACATTTATTGTTTTTACCTAAATTTAGTTAATATTTTGAACCATGTAATTTTAGTAGTTGTTTTTTTTTTTTGTAATAACAGAGGAAGGGAGTGACACATAGTAATACTCAGAATAAAATTTTGTTGAAAGTTGCTTTTCATGAAATTTATAAAATGAGTTATTATATGTATGGCTTATTAATAGTTCAATTTTCGATACACACATTTCAGAAGAAAAATTGAAACCAGAACAAATTTTCCATCAAATTCGAGATAAACCAACTTATTAATAACTTGATTATGAATAGTTTATTTTTTTTTATTTTTGCCAGAATGAATTAATTTATTTTTCTATACCTTGTGTGTGTGTGTGTGTGTGATGGCAAAAACATATATTTATATACAGAGAGTTATTTTAGAAGTGAAATTGAAACTTCATGGACACTGTTTTTTTTCTCTCAGTTCTGTTAAATTATTTGATTATTTAATTATTTAAATTTGAAAACAATTATCTTTGAATCCTAATAATAATTAACTTAACAAAATTTTCTTGATTTTATTTAACATACCCTTTCTATATTTTTCAGATTAATTTGCATATATTTTAAAAATACGGAAGACAATTGTGTGATTTTTTAACAAGTTTTAGGAGAGACTTGTGTAAATGTACTGTACTTTATACAGACTATTTATGGACTTTAGTTGCAACTTAAAAGATAAATACTCAAGTTACGAGGACAGGCAGGATTGAGAAACATCATTCTAAACATATGAACTAATTAGAAAATTAGTTTTATTATAGATATAAAATTTAATTCATGTTATTTTTTTAACAAAAAATTCATTTTATTTCTTATATTTATTATTATTTTTGTATTAATTTATTTAACTTTATAAATTAATATATAATGTAATGTTTATTGTTACGCACAATATCGCCATCAAAATCCAGATTATATTATGTCCTGGCTGGCCCCTGCTGACTTTAATTAAAACATTAATTACGACAGGACAATGGATTCGATAATATATTCCTAATATCAATGAGTATCTTTTGGTGTGGAGTAACCCGAGACAATTATCACAAGATTGAGCAAAATTCTAATGAGCAGTTATCACAGTGAGAAGATTATGCCACATATCAAGCACCCAAAAAGCCAGAAATTGAGGACAGGATTGAAGATAACAGGCAAGAGAACATCATTCCAAGTGAGAATATTGATTAAGCATTGATTATAATATACATATACAGAATTTACTCAATGTTGGCTCAATTATTACTTCCTATATTTTGTCTGCCATACATTTAAATGTACAAAATTCTATTGTTTTATACATGTTCCGTTCCTCCAACCCATCCCAAAATATACTGAAACAATGAGATTTTTTTTTATCTTCACAAATATATTTCAAAATGGTTTATTTATAAATAGATTTTAAAATACCTCATCACTGCAAAGTTCATTGTGCAGAGATATTTCAAATTTATTATAGAATTTTAGGTGCAACCTATCCTAAGCGAGTACAATTCTTTTTTAACTGCGCACAACTTGCCTTCAACTTACCTATATATGATGAGTTGTATTCGTTCAATCTTTAGATATTTTTTTACAAAAAAAATCTTTAGATATTTTTGTACAACAAATTTTGGACTGAGAGATTTTTAGTAATTTTTCCTTATAAATATTGGGTTAAAATAAGCATATTTAATCTTCAACCTGAATGATGTCGCAGTTAAATGTATGGATTTAGATTGTATAATAAATTAATAATACTGGGTTTATACTTAAGCATTCAGGAGCTTTGTCCGGTTTGTTTTGCCATTCAGTCCCTAAACTAAAGTTTGTAGGACTCAATGTGCCTGAAGGATCAAGTTGAATAAAACAAATGGGCTCCATTTGGTTTATGGGCTTTTTAGACATTATTATTTGGGCCTTTCATAGCATTCGGTAAAGTCTATTGAAGAAGTGTTGATGAGAGACAAGTCTGTTAGATATTGGGCTGTGTAATTGGGCTTTAAGATTGTTATGAGGTTAGTTAAGATTTTGTTATAATTGGGCTTTAAGATTCTCATTTATGAGGTGAGTTGAGATTTTGTTGTAATTGGGCTTTAAGATTATTTTGAGGTTAGTTGAGATTTTGCAATGCTGCTAGATTAAAAGGGCAGTTGTTTTGTAATGGTACAAGACCCAATTCTTTATTTAGTTCTGCGTTTAGGCTTTTGGGCTTTGATTATTTACATGCTTTGCCTTGAAATAGTGTGTGCGAATTAAAAGAGAAATACTAATAGGAATTGGATATAGCGTAGTTTCCTACGATATAAAAAATCAAGGTTCGTAAACCCATTAAAAAATATGTTTAATAGTATTTCAAAGAAAATTGCTTCTAATAAGAGGTTGGAATACTAAGACTTATATTTGATCTCTACTTACCTTTTCCTCATTCAGAACTTGCCTACAGAATTTGTTGCCCTTTTTCCACCCCATACTTTGAAATGCTATCCTTCTCAGCTCAACTCTTTAAGCTTGAGGTTTTTTCTTGCATGTGTTAATTTATCTAATGTTAACCTATCATTGAGGGTTTTGAATCTTTTTTCTCCCTTATTTTAATGAGAAAATGTTGAATACATATTTTATAGTTGTTTCTTAAATAAAAACACAATTAATAAATTATAACTAAAATCAAATGTTCACGGTGCATGTATATTTAAAATTCATGCCATTAATTTGTTGATATTTTATTTCATACATATATTATCTTATATATGTATATATTATTTTTTTTCTATTTAATTATTATGTTATCGGTCCAACCGGATGATTCGATTGATCCAATACAATATAGACTCGCTAATTTCTTTAGTCCAACATTTGATTCGACTTTTAAAAGATTGAAATGAATACCATAGAAAAGAAATAACGAGTGGAATTGACTGATTTATATATCAAGATTGAGGCACTTAGGAGAAAAAAGGAGAAATAGATTATTCTAGAGAAAAATCAATTTTTGCAGCACGGAAGATATGTCTCTCTTTTCCATGAAAAGATTGATTTAGAAGTAGACACCGGATAAGGCATAAACGGAACAAAGAACAATATATTCTTGTACCGGAAAAAAATAAATTGTATTATGGACAAAATTGATTAAATATAGAATTAATGATATAATGGCTATAATTTCCTTCTATATGTCTTTTTTATCCTTTTTATATTGTTTTCCTACATAAATAAATAAAGGATAATTGTCTTCATTCTGCTTATATTCTTGCTATGTCTTAAATTTCTTTATATTAATGAATAAAATCTTGACATGGACCACTCACAAATAAAGAAACAAGTGTTTCTCTACCAACAAGTTGTTAGTTAAAATAGTAATTGATCTAACCTATAAGGAGAAAATATAAGTTTAAATTTTGAGAAGTGTCCTAGCTAATAGGGCTTTAATCTTAACCATTTAGCTTGATAAAAATTAATCTTAAATTCAACATGACCTGAAAATACTCTAAGCTTAAAAAAAAAAGAATAAATGTGTAAATTTACCTCTGATATTATTTCTCAGGTACACCCAACACCCTCTTTTTTTTTAGTAGTGCAATTTTATCCAATCTTATTTTTTGAGTGCAATTTCACCCTAACACAGGGGTAAAATTGCACAAAAAATATTATGAATAAAATTATGTAATTAAAAAGATCCTGATATTGAGTGTACTTGAAAAATAAGATAAAGATAAATTTACACCTTTACAGAAAAAAAAAGTAGTGTTTCTCTGCTCCTTTGTCAAATCACATTTGTCCTGTAAGATCATGCACATATAGAAGCTAAAAATTGTTTATGTATTGGCCAAAAGTCACTTTTAATACAAATCAAATAGTCTGAAAAATCAAGTTCACACAATTCCAACCCAACAAACACACTAAAGATTAGACCATAGAAAGAATGCATGCTGTTTAGTATTTACTTCTATTCATGGCTCTTAGGCCGAAACTCAAATCCTTCAACTAATATGCCTTTTTTCTCATTATAGTCATTAAACTCCCATAATCTGAACTCCAATAAGCCATCACCATCTTCTTCATGGTCAGTGTAAAATTCACCTACCTTAATTTCAAGCCATCCATCTTCTCTTTCCTTAACTCCAATTCTTGGAGGGTATAGGACCACTTGTCCTTCAGACGTAAACGCACCGCTTTTATTGAGACTAAAATTTATGAATGTGCCTGTGAATCCCAATATCTCACTTCCAAATTGAAAGATGAAGAACACATCATATGTTGTTTTGGCGGATAGAAGTCTGGTGTTAAGAATTCCTTTCACCTCAAACCACCACACATGATCGAGCACTGCCACTTCAGGAAATCTGTAAATGGAAAGAAATTTTAAAGCTTAAAATATAGTATTTTTCTTAACTTTATTGAATCAGCATAAATTAACATAAAAAAATAGTGAGTGATAATATATCGCGAAAAAATTTGAATCTAACAATAAATTACTTCGAAGTTTTGTTTAGAAATCTATCTTAAATAAAATAAAGAAGTTTAAAGAACTTTATCATGACCAAAACTTATTAAAGCTTCATATATAATCATCTTATAAAAAGATACAAGAAAACCTCATCAAATAATGTCTTCCTCGTTAAAATTAGCATTAGAATATGCCAAATTAAAAGCAAAGATAAAGCATTAATTACTGACTTCATGTTTCTTCCTTGCATTCATGCTCAAACTGAGAACAAGTTGAAGATAATTTTATCAATCTTTCATTTAACAATTTCTTAGCACATTATGAAAAATTAAGTTTTGGCCACGACAAAAATGCCGATGCCAAGAAGTCGAAAGTGGCTGCTAATTAAAAGTTTAGCAGCGACTTTCACCACCCAAAGGTCGCTACTATAATTCATATTGCTAATAATTTTTATATAATAGGTTTGTTCTTCTATCTTTTGTAAATTTAGTTCAAGCTTTACATAAAGTCAATAATGTACCATACAAAAACGTTTGAAGAAATCCCCAGTGTGATCTTTGAATTAGACCTGCATAATACCTTGTGTCTTGCTATTCTTTGATTTCACTCTTTTTAGCTTTCATATTTTGCATTCTTAGCTTCTTCCCTCTACTATCTATTTAAGTTTTTAAGTTTCCAAAATTTTTATAAACCACCCAATTTCCAACAAAATCTCATTACCTTATTTAGCAATTGCTCAAAAAGTTTGAGCATCAAACATCTAGAAATTTGAAACTTCATGCCTCTTGAATGAAAAATAATATGGTTAAGCTAAATTCAAAATATGTTGACAAAACTAGAAAAAAAATGTTGCTTTGTAGGGCTTAAATGAAAACGTGATTATAAAATAATCAAGTGAAAGGGATACAAGAGATGACTCAAGAATTTAAGGTTTAATTACTTTGTCTTTTAGTATCCTGTGTAAATGAGGGTCAGAGTTCTTTGCGCCACGCATGAAACATTATTTCTCAAAGGTTTTTGAAGACGGAAGTCTGCATAAATCATGTTTTACATAATTTGGAAACTCTTGAAAATATTTTACACAACTTAAAGTATTGTTAGTGTTATATGCAAATGAACAAGTGCGAGCCATGAATGTGATTTTTTGGTAAAGCATACCTGGATTCTTGAATAGAAGCATAACTCCAGTATCTAAGATCAGTTGACCAAAGAATCCATAGTCCCCTTGCACCTATCATATAACACTTCTTACAACTCTCCTTATCCAAAGAAAAACTCTGCTCCACAACATCAAAATTATTAATTTACATAAAAGTGAGTACAGGTGAAAACATATAAGAAAAGAAATAGAGGTGATCAAATCGTTTGACTTTCACAAAAATGGAGAAATTAAAGGGGGGCAGGACACTTTTAATTGCTATTAGAGGACTACAAAACCAACTAGAAATCAAAATGCAAGTTCTTTATATCGCTAAATTTGCAACTAGGTTGAGAGCCTATGGGTATTTGGTTGGTATCTAGCAAGCTACAAACATACTAGGAAGATCAAGTTACTAGCTTTTCGAGAACTGCTTTAGTGAGATCATACCTAAATGGTCAACAATAAGTTTAGGAAAGCAACGATCACTAATATATGATTTTAATTTAGAATTTGTGCTTGTATGTATTAAGTATACATATATGATTTATGGGTTATTTTAATTTGCCTTAGGGTGCTTTGTGAAGAATTAAAGTGCATTAGAATAAAAAGGAAGTTACAGGAGTTAGGATAATGTTCTGATAAAGGTTAATGAGGATTCAATTTGCATTCAACTAAGCGGAGTTTTAGGCATCATTGGGTGATGATTCCCCTTCATTGCCGTTGCATAAGCGAAAAGGAAGACCAATAATGTCTTTAATGCGTTTTGAGTCATCAAGTATAAGTGAAGTGTGTGTATGTAATGTACAACCATGAAGCAACTTGGGCATTATAGAATTTCATGACTAAGTTGAGGGGAGCAATGAAATTAGTTGGGATCTGATTTCTACGTTCGAATATCTAGATATGATACTCTTTCGATTCCTAATATAAGATCTATTTTGACTTTTAATTTGGTCCTAAATATGAGATCCCGATTTGTTATACCTCTCATATTTATCCTTTTTTTTAAAAGTAGTTCTTATAGTAGTTGCCCATGTTCAAATGGTAGTTCTAACTAAGATATATGATTAGTAAGGGTATTTTAAAAAAAATAACACATACTTATTATAAATAACTAACTTAGCAAACTTTCTTAATTCATTTAAATTAGTCAAGTAGCTCTTATATTAAAGATCAGATGTAGTATATCATATTAGCAAGACTTTAAGGGAACTATATATTTACATTACATGTATGAATGAATATGATCATTTGCAAGCTATTAAACTTAGGATAAACAAAATGTCGCTAATGAACTTGTAGTTTAATGGTTTGAAATAGGAGTGCCCATGGGACGAACAATCCCATCCTGGTTCCATCCCAACAATCAGGACGGGATGGCTTTTTTGTTCCATGTCCCATCTTGTCCTAATAGTTTTCCATCCTGAGACAGGATGTATCATTTATTTTTAAAAATTTTAAAATTATTTTAATTCTAAATTAAATATATTTGGAGCATAAAAACTCATAGTAAAAATTATATAAAGAAAAATGGGCTAATAAATTAACATTTATAAAAAAATTAACAAATAAAAATAATTTTTTTAAAAGATAGAAAATATATAAACTCAAAATATCTTTTAAAAAAACATTATCTAACCCATATAGAAAAACTTATAATTATAGACAATATAATCATAACAATTATACTCTTCGGGTCCTTAATATAAGACCCATTTAACTAATTTAATTAGATTAAGGAAGTTAGGTAAATTAATTAATTATAAGAAATGTGACGCATTTTTCCTAAAATACCATAATCATCTTTCTTAATATCCCCTCTTCATCTTCTATTTGATTATGGTTGAGAGAGTATCTATAGGAGTAATTTAGAGAAAATTAATAAATATGAGAAATGGGTCTTATATTTAGAACCAAAACCAACTCAATAATTGGGTCCTATATTAAGGACTGGAAAAGTAATATTATTATATTAATGATGAGTAAAACAAATTTATAAAATAAAAAAAAAAGATAATGCATCGAGACATGTTCAGAATGGAACACTCGTGTCTTGTGTCCCATCCCATCTTAAAACATTTTCTTCCCGTCCCAAAATAAGTGGGACCGAGATGGGATGCCGGGACGAGAGACAAGTGAACACTCCTAGTTTGAAAGCTCTTGTGTGAGTAGGAGAATGTGAGTTTGATTTCACTTGTAATATCAAACCATTTTAGTGTTTGCTTCTGTTGACATACTGAGTACACTTAATTCTCCAAATATCTGAATAATTCTAATTATAAGTAAATACAAGTGAAAAAAATTTTCCCCTCTTTTTGCCTTTTGGGCGTGAAACGAGTCTTGTTGATTTCTTTGATACACAGGGTAAGCTAGTGTCTGAATTAGCTAGTGAGATTGAACCTATAACTTATCATCAACAAAAAGAAATTGATAGACTGATAAAATTTAATCCACATAGACTTTTATATAATTTTCAAGGCATGGCATGTAATAATCGTCACGAAGCTTTTAAGCTTACTATAAATGATAGTGTCTGCAGCAAGTTTATTAGGTTTCAACAACAAAATATACTTAACTTAAAAATTATTTAACTAATTTAATTATATTTAAAAATTTAATTATACATATTTTTTTTATACAAAAGAACCCACCAACTTACTGGGATTGAAAAAATAAGGCTTCATTTTATTTGTTTATGAACATTTGTAGAGATTTATAGTGCGTTGATTAATATTGCTACATGTTCTAGATTGATTACATTACGTTATACAAATTAGATTGATTTATTCTGTGGTATCTAATTATAGAATATATAAGTGTATTATTAAATTATCGTTATATTTAATTATTATTGAGAGTATTAATAAGAATAATTTTAAAAAGTTAATAAAAATAGGAGATGAGTTTTATATTTAAAATCAAGATTAACTTCTTAATTAGGTCTTTCATTACATTAATTTTGTAGGTATTAATTATAATATTATTTAAAAGATACAGTTTTAGCCTCGAATTTAATATATTTTGTTTTAAAAAAATTAGGCAAATAATTTGAATGAAGTAAAAATATGAAATATCTTTCCACATATCACGTAACAAAGCTATGGATATTAAAAAAAAAAAATCAAGCAAAAATCAATCCAAGCGGAAAATTTCTTATGTTCTTAATTAGATATGATCATCAAGGACACTTCAGAGGCAAATTTAGACTAAAATTTAAAATAGTTTGCTTATAAGAAAAAAACAGATTTATAATATGAATTAAAAAATATAATATATATAAATTGGCGTTATCAATAGTAAGTTTATGGAGATAAACATAAAATTAACCAAAGATAAGAAGAAAATTATTATTATTATTATTATTAATTAAAAAAATAGAGAGGGAAAAGAGGAAGTTGGCATTTGGGCTTTCCACTGATGGCCCACATCTTGTGGATGAAATACATTGGGCAGATGCTTCTGTATTGCGGAGCTTCATGGGCCCTACAGCATGTGTGGCCTCCATTATATTTTGTTAATTTGTTATTTTACATGTTTGAATGGGTCTTATTTTTAAATTATTGATGAAATGTGTTAAACATCTTTTAATTTTATTAATTAAAATTTCTATTAAAAAATTAAAATTATTGATTTACTTCATAACCTAATAATCTATTCCCTTTCTCTCTCCAATTTGAATAATCTGGAACATGAGTTAAATCTTGATAAAGAATACCCGCTAAACATTGAAATTCCTGGAAATTATACAAACTATATCAATTATTTTTCTGGTCCTTAATATAAGAACTAATTAACTAATTTGAGTATACTAAGAATATTACTTAAATTAATTAATATAATTTTTTTTCTAAAGCATCTCTTTTAATTATCTCTTTCCTCTCTTATCTGATTATTGTTAGAGAAAAATTAATAGGATTAATTTGAAAAACAATTGATGAATATGCAAAATAAATTTTTCACATAGGACTAACATTAATTTTTCCGTTAGGTTTTGAGGAGTATGTTGTTATTTTATTGGGGGAGAATGGCCCTCTAGTCTTATAGAAGAAGGCTACTTATAGTTAAGTCTTATAATATATAAATCGCATTGCGCTCCTGATATAGTTAATTTACTAAAATTCAAAATCAAAGTATGTTCAATAAATGCCCATTTTCTTTAATAAAAATACTCCTCAATTGCTCCCACCTACTGCAGCCATTAGAGCTCCAATGCCACTATCCAAGCTTCATTGTCATCAAAGGTAAATTACTTTCAAGGATAACCAAAATTAAAGTGCCATTGAAACTTGTAACTACTTGTTTGGTAAAAACATTAAAGGAGATTGGGCTACTAATACTTCTTAATATAACTATACAAAATTTTTATATATATATATATATATAAGTAAAACAAAAAAGACAAAAAGAACAAGGTTTTGTGATCGAATAATGGAATAGGAGGGCTATATTCATTGCTTCTAAATGACGGATCGAATTTTAATCATTTAGATTTTAAAATTTTGAATTCTTTAGAATTTTATATAATTTTTAATTAAAATAATTTTAATTTAGAAAATTAGAGCTAAAACTTTATGATAAGTTTTTCATTTGACTACTTTTCTAATAAAAATAAAAATAATAATAATTTCTTACCCCCAAAAAAAAAAGATGGGAACTTACACCATATCAGTATATAATTTTTATGAGCATCAAACTATGGGAACGGTTCTCGTTAAAAAAAAAAAAATCTATAAGAAAGGTCATGAGTTTAATTCAGAGATTCTAACCAAAATCAACTCAACTAAATTTCATCGAAGTAGTGCCAGATCAAAATCAAACAAGTTAAAATCTGAGTAAAGTAAAAGTGAGATCTGATCTTACCATGGTGTTATTGGCCAAAAGGAGGGGATGATCACAAAGATGATGGTAGAGTTGTTTCTTGGTAAGAGAATCCAAGTTCGCCGGCGGGGCAGATGATTGAGCCACCAAGTGATGACAGTCGGCCGGCAGAAAAGCTTCCCACGTCTCATCGGAATCTGCAGAATCCTTGAACGCCGAACAAACCGCCGATGACCGACACGCGTCCCTGGGAGTTGTGAACGAAACGATCTTGCGCATACAATCCCTCGGTAAAACCTTTGTTATGTCCATCTTCCTCTCCCTCTCCTCTCTCTCTCTCTCTCTCTCTCTCTCTCCCCCCTGATCTTTAACAATGAGATAAAAGCCCATCTTCTTTGTCCTTCCTTGTTCACAGCCTTATTGCTACATGTAAGTCAACCATGTCATAGACCCAAGGAAAAGACGCAACCGCGTGTCTTTTTTAATTTGTTTTTGGTATAAAAAAAAAATCATAGACGACCCGGAGAGGCAGAGGCCCAGTTATATATGTTTCTAGAAATCGAATACTTTCGAACTCCGTACTGGTTGAATTTAAATATCTTCAATACCGTGTGAATGTGAAGAAGCTTGAAAAGGAGAGGCATTCTTAGGCCCTGAGAGTACCATGTCACTTGAACACTCTTTAATAAAAACGCACCAACTCAATCAATTGCAGACCCATTTGTCAGCTTACGTGGCTCATTTTTAATAGGAAATATTTTATAAAAAAATTCTGCTACAATCTTTTCTCTCTCCTCTTTCTCCCTGCGCCCCTCTCAAATTTTCTCTCTCTTTGGCACTTTTCCCCCTCATCTTTCCCGTCTCTTTTCTCCTTCTTTCTCATCATCCTTTACCAACTTCTCTCTCCTCCTTCCTGCATTTCTATCCTAATAGCCCATTTGCCCCTTCCTTCCCCCCCCAAAAGCCCTCTTACTCAGCTTCTCCCACTTTCACCACGTCTCCATTGCCACAATGCCCGACGCCGACGCCGGCGTTATGTTAGCCAAGATTAGCTCGTGCTCAAGCCATTTGAAGGGTGCCATGCCGGACAGCATCTTATTCATGAGCACTCGATGAATCTTGAGATTATGAGAGCTATTTTTGCTCGCCCATGCTTCAGCTCCTTCCTTCATTTTTCATCCTTCAACAAACTTAGCAGCAACAAAATAGCGCCAGAGGGGTTTAAAAATTTTGAACAAATGCTGTGCACGTGGACTCAGCTCTTTAATTTCAGCGAAAATGCTATATCTCACTTGAACTCTGTTATGCTCAGGACCTTAGTGTGCTATTATGCAATTTTTCATCTCCAGAAAAAAATTGGCGAAAAGAAGCATGGGGAGAGAGAAACCGGTGAAGAAAAATAAGAACAAGAAAGAAGATGAAAAAGAAGGAGAAGACTCGGAAAAGGGTGTCAAGAAAGGCGGAAGGAAAGCAGAGGAGAGAGAAAATTTAAGAAAGAGTGTTATTGGAAAACGGGAGAGAGAAGCGATTGTGGCCGAATTTTTTTGTGAAATATTTTCAATTGAAAAAGAGCCACATAGGCTGACAAGTGGGCCTGCAATTGATTGAGTTGGTGCGTTTTTATTGCAGAGTGTTCAAGTTACGTGGTGCTCCCAGAGTACCTGAGAATTTCTCTGAAAAGGAAGGAACTGATTTCAGTGCTTACAACAGCGGTGTTCATAATTATGATGACATTTACATTTTCCAAATGTAGTTTGGATAGTTCAAATTTAAAATTTTTAGTGAAACCTAGACAATTCAAATTATATCTAGGAGGTCCAACTAAACTAAATCTAGACTTTAATATAAAAACTAATTAGGGATTATATTTAATCTTAAATATAAGGTCTCAATTTATTTTGTTTCCCATCTTTTTTTAAAATATCCTTAATAATTGTAAGGGGTACTAAGGAATAATTCTAATAATCCAATGTATAACATTCAAGAAAATAGTTTAGGAAAGCCAATATTAAGGATGGTAAGTAGTAATTCAAACCATGCATAACTAGGGATACGGATAACAAATTACTTAAGAGAACATTACAACTAAAAACCATATTTTAAAAAACAGTAAAATATAACAAATTCTTTTAAACTTTAGGTAAGTTGAATATAATCTCAAGCATTTAAAAGTTCAATTTTCTAAATCTCACCTTGTGTGAATTTTTTTAAAAAAATAATTCTAAAATTCTAGAATTTGTGTTCTGACTTCTAAATAAATATTGGTAAAAATATATTTTTATCTGGATATTACAAGCAATTGCTTTTTCCTTTCTCCAAGAAGATAGGAGGTGGGGGGGGGTTTGAAATGTGACACAATACCTTGGCTTTGTTATACTTTGTTACACCTTTTATGATTTTAATTCTATAAGAACAAAAAGGAGTTGGGACATTCCAGTACTTAGGAGACGAGTCGAGGTGACTCTTTCTTTAGGCCATCTGACTGAGCATCATTCCGTGCTGATTCATTGATGGTGCTCAATAATATTTATAATTATTTTTTTCATAATAATATTTATAAGTATGTTAAAGTTTATGTTTGCTACTTTAAGTTAATTTTAATCTTAATTTTGTCTCTTAATTTTATAAAGTGTACCGGTAGTGCATGTTCTAAGTTTTGATTTTGCAATATAATAACTTTTATATTTTAAAATTTAAGCATTTAAAGAATCAATGAAATATTAAAAATACTAAAGTATTAAAAGCTTAACCATTTAATCCTCTCTCCATATATAATTATTTAAATGCTTAAATTTTAAAATATAAAAATGAATATAGTAAATAATTAAAATTTAAAACATGCTTGATCGGTATTTAATTGCAATGTCACTGTTTAAATTTGATAAGTTAGCATTTTTTGTTATATAAGATTAACGGTATTAAGATTCAGGGATTAAAGATACACTTTATAAACTCAAAAAACTAAATTGAAATGAAATTTGAGATAAACTTAAAGACCAAACATATACTTCAATCTTTTTTGAAATAGAAACTTTTCACCTATTTTTCCTTTATTAAAAGATATATTATTCATCTTGATTTAAATTTTGGTTGCTTCATAGAAATAAAACTTAAATGAATTTATTTTAAAATTTTTCTAAATATTAAAATCTAGTTGGATATAGATAAAATGTTTTAAATAATAAAGAGGACTGTAGAAGAGAGAGAATGTCTGGTAGAAAAAATGCTTCCAAGGGTTTGCGATAATAAATATTTTAATATTAAAATAAGTAATTAAATGAAGGTAAATTAGATAATTAGCGAAGAAAATTTGAGACATTCTTAAAGTGTCTCTTATAAGTACAAATAACCATTAGTTATTGTTTTGTATTAAAAAAGAAGAAGAAGAAGAGTACGAAACATGTAGAAGTGACTTGTAATAAGAACTCAAATCATATTCAATAACACTCGTGTTAGTTTAGTCCACAATGGAAAAGAACCGTGCTGTTTTTTTACAAGTTCCCATAGTGCGTAGTCTTATTTTGCTATCAATCATGATCCATTCAACACGTTTTAGTCGATTCAAAACTGCTTGGCAAATAATTGAAAGGAATTTCTGCCATCAAAGAAATCTAAATCATTGGAAAGATTATTCAGACTTCCTGCAAATTTCATAGAAGGGAATATGATTATCTTGAAGAAAAAGGAAACATGTACAAATCTATCTTTGTCCCCTTGCTCAAGCGAAAATAAACTTGACTCCAAACTCCCATAAACCTCTTGGTTGGGATTTTCTTTCAATCTATCTACTTGTGCTTCCCACTCTGATTGTTGGAGCTTAAACAAAGAGGAACCTGACACTTTGATTGCTAATGGAGGTGCTTTAGCATATTGTAGAAGTTATGAGTCAACTCTTCAAATTCATTATTAGGATCATCACTTCTAAATGCTCTTCTACTAAGATGTTGGGTAGCTTCTTCGTCGTTCAGCATTTCAATCTTGTAAACTTTATCCACTCCATGCCTATCAAGGATTTTCTCATCTCTATTTGTTATGATGATTCTACTCCCTGCACCAGATCACTAGGCTTTCCAAACCAATTTCTCTAATCGACCTGCATGATGGGGATTGGGTCTATCAAAAGGGACTAATCTCTCACAATGTGACAAATCAATATTTGAATTATCAGAGGAGTGCTTACCATTTAGTGCCCAATAATACTTTGAATATAATTATCTATAGCAGGAAGACACCTATGTTTAACAATAATAATAATAAAAAGATATAGTGCTGAAATATCTTAGAAGTACTCATGAAAGAGCATCCAGGACTTGGAAATTTTTTTCGCCCTTATGCATCTTAGAAGTTTATATAGATTAGCGTCACCAACTAATAATTACAAAAGTTTAACTACTTGTTCAATTAATATATCTAGTGAGGGAGGGAGGGGGGGAGGGAGGGAGAATTAGATCCTAGAACGAGAGAAGACTACTTGCTTTTTTCTTACGTCATAACCAGTGCGATTAGGTACTTGTTTCAAAGCTGACTTCCTCCATCTCGGTAGCTTATCACTCGAGTGTTTGTCATGTTTATCAAAGGCTTCTTTGAAAGGCCCCCCCTCTAATTTCGAACCTCGGATCAATGTAACATGGAAGAAAATTGGTAAAACAGTATATCTTGATTCAATGACTTCCTCGCAAATCTTTCCCAGTTCATCCAAGCACAATGCGAAATAAGCATAGTTTTTTTGAAATGTTCTAGTTTTTAAATCATTATCCTCTAAACAATAATGTTTGATTTCGCTACAAAAAAAGCTTATTACCGATAAAATTAGCGATAGAAAATTATTTTGTTACTAATTTTTGATAGATTACTGACAAATATTTTGATGCTAAATTAAGAGACGGACTAGTGATAGAATAACAATGGAATTTCATTCTGTCACCAATCCATCAAAAAATCCATTGGTAAATTTTTAGCGACATAATTTTTTTTATTAGAAATTTATGTTACTAATCCATTGCTAATTTTAATTATAAAATTTTTAGCAATAGAATTATTGGTGGAATTTTTTCATCAGTAATTCCGTCACTAATCCATCAAAAATTTCTATAATAATATAATGATTTAAATATATTTTTAATTGTAAAAGAAATTGATATATTTGTGGAGTTGGTGTTAATAAAGATAATATCATCATTCATCTCATCATTAGATATAGAAGACAATTTCTTAAAAAACTTGTTTTACGTTTCATTAAAATCAATTCCTCTTGATTATTACTAATAATTAAACAAATATAATAAGAATATTAATAAATTTCTTGTACAAATTAATATAAGAAAGAAATAATTCTATTATATATGATATATTGAAAGATGTGATATATGATAGCAATTCAAAACTGAACAATGAATTTATATGAACATCTCAATTTATGATTATAGATCAAACTAATATTGAAGTAAATTTTG